GCACAATAAAATTGCAAATCAGGCCACAGGATTCAATTTCTTGTCGCTCGTTCATCAAGGAGAGAATTTAATTTGGATTTGTAGTGTACCGTTTTTCAAACAGCTTTAAATTAGTTTAAGACAACGGTCTAAGCGCATGGGGCAAAACAGCTGCATGGAAAAGAAAGGACATGTTTTAAATAGCAAATGGCTAAAGCTTGGGGAATCTTCTTCCAGCCCACCTTTTCCATTCCATGGTTAAGGGAGAAAAAGGCAAGCTTTCAGAAGGTGTACTCAGCTTATTGTCTTATACTCAACACTTTTGCTTTTGAAGTCCCTGCTCCCTTCCTTCTGCTTCAAATTAATCCATCAAGAAGAAACAGCCAGCTGTGAACACCACTGTCTATAAGATCTCTGTGTAGATTACCAGCATGTATTTCCTTTAGTACAATTGACACTTCAGTTCTCCCTCTTTCACTTCTCGAGCTGGAACAACAGGGATGCAGCAAATCTGAATGGCTGTTTGCTGAGGCAAGAGCACAGTCTAGTTTAGGTCACAGCTAACAACCAGATCACATGAGTCAGAGGCAAGAAGGATGTAACTGCAGCAAACATCCAATTATCATACTCTGCTGCTAACTTTTGGGTCCAATTGGCTTCTCAGGGCTGGACCTTTTCTTTTCTCCTTAATAATAAGCAAATGGTTAATCAATAGTGTGGGTTTCCACTAAGTGACCACCCATTAATGTTCCCTGAAGCAGAACAGGAACAGAAACACCCCCCCCCCCAAACAGGCACATTACAGGTGGGAAAAGACTTCAAGGACTCCTAACCAGCATTTTGACTAGGAATTCCCAGAGCTGAACTCTCAGTTCTGAGGGGCATCAGGATAGGAATGGTTGATCTCAACCTTGTTCTGCATCTGTGAACTGTGTCTATTTTGCAAACCTGGCCAGACCCATAGGACAATCCCTCAGGGCTCCCACAATGTCAGCTGTGACCCAGTGGCTGCACGTTGCAAAAGGCAACATGCTGAATCATCAGAGAGCCAGTTTGGTGTAGTGGTTAAAGCACCAGGCTAGAAATCCTGGAGATTGTGAGTTCTAGCCCTGCCTTAGGTATGAGGCCAACTGGGTGACCAATCACTCTCTCTCAGTCCTAGGAAGCAGGCATTGGCAAACCACTTCTGAAAAATGTTGCCAAAAAAACTGCAGAGACTTGTCCAGGCAGTCACCAGGAGTCAAAAACTGACTCAAAGGCTCTTAATGGCTCTCATCATCATCAGGCTCTCATCATCATCATCATCAATCATCCAGCTGATCTGAGACCTCCAAAAGGGAAGCTTATTTACCCTTATGTCTCTGCTGCATGAATAGTGTACACTTGTGTATGTTGCTCCCACGTTTTGCTTTTTCATTGGAGAGTCTGACTCCCAGCTTGCCACTCCCACACAGAAGCAGATGAAAGTGATGGAGAACCAAAGCTGGCTAGATGTACTGTCAGGAGGCAATGAATGTGGTGTGATAGGGTTCACTGTCACTCTAAGTTTTCCAGCACACTTGATTTCCTTTTTACCAGGAGTCAAAAACTGACTTGTTCAAGAGATGTGACAGGGTAGCAAAAATTATGATTAGAGCAGCAAGGTCTCGACTATGTGAGTTGGATTTTTTTGCTACAAATATAGTAATCTATGAGTGAAAAGTGGGGAAGCATGTGAGGCCACAGAGGAGATCTTCTAAACTCTCGTTCCTCCCTGAAGATATCCCTGCTTTTGCTGTAGCAGCCCAAAACAGCTATTCTGTTGGCGCTTTCTCTCCTACACAGACATAGCAAGTCTGATTTGAACAGTCCTTTAGATATAGTTATAAGTAAAAATCCCACTGAATTTAGTTAGACTTTTTTTCCTAATAAGCATTCTTAGAATTGCAGCTTTAAAAGCTCACTGCTTATTGGGGATGGGTGGGCTCCCTCTTTTTTAAACAAATGATTTAGGTATCATCTGTAGTCTCTGAATATGGCAGTAGTTGTGAAAGGTTTCCTAGGGATCAAGAACTTGATGTTTGTGGGGCGTGTGTGGAAGCAGAGGACTCAACAAGAGATTTAGGAAAGGCTGCCCTCCCGAATTCTTTCAGCTTTCAAAAACAGTTTGGCACAGAGATATTCAACAATGTAAATAAATAGTTTAATTAATTAATTAATTAATTAATTTTTGGAAACATAGTGTTGAGGTTTGTGGCTTAGGTTCATCCTCACATTCCTCTAACTGGCCTGCTGCAGGCGCACCTCTTCACCTCTAGTAACTAGCACTGCTCATTATGGTTATTTTGGCCTGGGTTGCAGGAGAGATGAGACATCTGACGTCTACTGGGGCATCCAGCCATGTAATGCCTGACTGGTAAAGGCATTCTCAAGCATTATGTGAGTTTAGTGCTTTTTTGAAAGAGTGCTAGACCTGCCTCCTCCTACACCATTTTGTGGGTTTCATGTGGTATTTCTAGGTGCTGGACACGAGACAATCCTTGCCAGCCAGCAGTATCATTCCCTTGCAGTACTTGTCAATTCTGCTCTCCTGCACCCCTCCTCTATTCCTGTGACCTGTCAGCCATGCCATTTTCAGTCATGGGTTTAGCATTCTTCCAAAAGAGCCATAGACTTGCATTCAAAAACAGCCTGACTGAATGTCACAATCACCGGCCACTTTCGAGCTGGCAACTTAAAAGGTGGCTAAACCCACTTGCCTGTACTTGATCTACCTCACTACATGAAGTCGCAGAATTCACCAATCACTTTCTTTAACTTGTTCCACATTAAAACTATGAGAACAGCACCTCTCACTGGCTTAGTCACTGAAGCAGAATAAGGTTTGGGCATTGGGATCATGCAATTTATGCCAGCATACTTTTCTGCTGGGTCAAAGACTAGAGAAATGCACATTAACATGGCAGTGAAGAACTCTTAGTCATATGTGTGAACCCACCAACTGTGATTTTTCAGTCAACTATTATTAAGCTACCCATTGTTTAATATAGTTGTGAACCTATCCATAGAGTCTCTCTTAAGAGGGAAAAATTGTGACAGGATGAATGGCCTGACATCTGGATGTACCCATTGGCATGATGTATAATCACAAAATAGTTGTCCACAGCTGTGTTCAAACCTTATGCTAAGCTATGGTTTATTTAATCATGGCTTCCTGAAAAAAATTACAATTTGCTGAGTTTGCATCACATGCAAAGCCATAAACAATGGTTTGCAACCCACAGTGGCTGGAATCATACAATATGCTAAGGCTCACATAAGAAAATCGTATCATGTTATAGCATGGTATGTTATCTGAAACTAGCCTGTGCATTAATCCTTCTTGCTTCCATTTCCCCCTTTTTGCATTTAAACATTATACATCGGGCCCTCTGCTTTCTGCAAATTAAATAATTTCCTATTCAGCAAGATTCTACATTAAGGGAGGGTATCTTTTATTAAGTCTTTCATTACCCATTTGCAAAACATAAGCAATATTTTTTTAATTAATTGCTTTACACGAAGTATTTTCCCTTGAGTGTAAGAAATGTTGGAATTCTGAAATACACACTTTTATGTAATTATCAAAGATCCTGTCCTTTTTCAATCAACAGGCAATCTGATTCACTCTGTTGAAGGGATCAAAAACTAAATTGGCAATATTTAAATTGGCAGTGTTAACTTCATAGTTTTAGAGTATGCGCAGAGTTCTCTATAACCAAACTTCAATACTAACAGCAT